ATGTATGGGCAGTCAGAGAAGGACTTTCCAGCCACAAGAGATCTTTCCAGCCAAAAAGCTCCCCGCTTTGGAATAGTGATCAGTGCTTGGAGTCATGTGTGAAATGGGAAGAAAGAGGAGTGAACTACGTGGTTTTGGAAGAGCCTGTTGGCCTCTTGGGCAAGTTTGCTCAGGCCTCTCTTCTAAAGCAACTGGGAAACCTCCAGGATTCTGTTTTTTCACAATTCAGTGGCTTGGGAAATGAAGTGCCAGGGCCCAAATAATGATGACAGAGTAAGAAGGGATCATGAGGCCACAGAGGACCTCAGCCATTTAGAAATGACCCCTGTAGGCACCAGCCCTTGGAGTGCCACCTTCTTCTCCCACAGGTCTGAGGCCTTACCTCTGTGTAGGATGCCTGAGTCTGAAGCATTCATACAAATGAGGCTGTACATAGTGAGGAGGCAGAGAAGCCCTGTGGCCATGGGAAAGCCCACACTCCATCTTGGGCCAGTGCTCGGCATTTGAAATAATGGCCAGACTCTGTTCTACTTAGAGGCAACCCAGAGCCCCCATGAGGCCCAGCTCACCTGAGATCAGACTTACCCACATTAAGGGCAGACCTGAATATCCAGGGTAGAGACAGACCCCATTCCCTCCACCAAATGTCACCACGATTACCAGCCTCCCATAGTTCCCGGGTAGGCTCCCCACATCTCTGTGCTTCTCACTAAATATCCTCCTTCCCCTCCTGGCCTCCCTCCACTTCCCTGCCTCTGCACTCTCCCTGTCTATTTCCCATCTGTCTCTTGGAGAGAAACACAACTGCTGGCATGGAGACTCACGGAAATGTGAAGAACACTAGGCTTAGAGAGACCAGTGCTGCCGTAGTCAAACAAGTCCAACGGCTCGAGAAAAGCCAGGATCTGGCTGGGGGTCTGGGTGGGGACCAGAAAGCATTTGAGATACTCATGCTAAGCCTGCTCTCAAACAAATGAGAGCCAACCCCTCCTTCTCCTTGCTTGGCACCCAGAGTACCATGACTACAAGTGTGACATCAGAGAGGTTCCAGAATGAGGGCTCAGGCTGCTTCCAGTGCCCTCTGAGAGCAACCCTTCCCTGCCCTCACATACATACCTATAGACTGGGACATCCTACTCTTACAATGGTGGCTTTGTTGTAACTGGTGAGGATGAGATGTGGTTTGTCCC